TCAATCACATGATAGAAATCACAGTTTCGACAACGCATTGATCAACAGCCGATCATAGGGCCATACACTACTTTTTGTTGTTAAGCGCAAAACTACACAATGGGTTATCTGTACTTTACCCACCGCGGGTATCTAAACCCATTTTTTAACATTATAAGTTCTGTGACTTACTGTTGAGCATGGGTGCACACAGATATATTTTCAACGGCGGGGCAAAACATGTATGTAGGAGATCAGCTTTTACGGAGTAGGTCAACAGGCTAAAAGAATATGTGTTATGTGTGCTTAAACGTAAACACAAATTTACAGTTTTAATAAAAATTGTTAGAAACACTTAGTTTAACTACGATGTTAGTTTACATCATAAAACGTTCAATTTTTTGTGAAATGTAATAAGGCAAATGCCCTTTCTTGCCCCTTCCTGCGGGCGCCCATGCTGTTGAGCTATCTGACAACACATTCTAAGACAGTGAGACTTGACAGTAACGAGAATGGCCCGGCATAGCCAGGTGGTTAGGGCGCTCGGCTCGCAATCTACGGGTCGCGGGTTCGAATCCCCGTCACACCAAACATGCTCGCCCTCTCAACCGTGAGGGCTTTATAATGTTGCAGTCAATCCCACTATTCGTTGGTAAAAGAGTAGCCGAAGAGTTGGCGGTGGGTGGTGATGACTAGCTGTCTTCTCTCTAGTCTTACACTGCTAAATTAGGGATGGCTAGCGCAGATAACCCTCGTATAGCTTTGCGCGAAAATTCTAAACAAACAAACAGTAACGAGATCTTAAGAACTCGCTTACTGAATTATTCAAGATTTTTTTTCACAAGTTGTCAAATGATCTCACATTGTGTGATTTGGATTCTAGCTGTTAAATTTTGGCACATAAATATACTAGTTTGTATAGCCTGAAATTTCTTTTATATGACATTGAGTTAGGAGAGTTTTCGCTAATTAGAAAAAAATTCACGTTGAAATCTGTTTTCGCCACTCCAAGCATTACACTGATAATGTCACCCGTCAACCAACCGATAGTTACATTCCTCTGATTGCTTCATAACGAAATATAACAAGTGGAAATTCAGGTAGTCATCAAATGACCCTTTAAACACCTCTGTCTGTAGTAAATTAGTGTCTCCCTTGGTTAATTTGCACTAAGTAGTAAAAAAAAAATGTAAAATATATTTTATACAATTGCGGTTTTGATGAGTATAGAAAAAAAATACAACAGTAATAAAAAGTACTTGTGTTGGTATATACGTCACTCTTATAGATTTATGACTATAAATCATCATTCTTTCTATTCAAACGTTTCTTGTTTCGGATGACATGCTATACAATAAAACGTGTTGTATAATTGAGAGCTTTCATCTAATTTGCAGTGATTTAAAAAATGGATGTACATGTTTGATACGACCATTCTTATCACAACAAAGCCGGTAATGAGAATGAACACTTTACTACTTCTGTTGCGTGACTGTCAATCTCCAAGCGACAGACGAAAGAACTTCTCGTGTAATAAGCGCCCTTTAATACTCAAACGTTGATACAAGTGTTTAGGATATTATATATTTTGTTTCCACTGGAAAATAATAATTATAAAACATTATAAACTATCAAAGTACACAAAACTTTTTTTAAAATCACATTAATAAAATTAATGTTAAAGATTACTTGTTGTGCCAACAGATTTACATTAATTTTAAACTAAATATTGAACATTAAGCGCAATTTCAACATATCTTCTTCTGCCTTGTTCACAGAGGAATGTCTGTGGACTTACAACGCTAGAAACCGGGTTTCGATACCAGTGGTGGGCAGAGCACAGAGAGCCCATCGCGTACCTTTGAGCTTACCTACAAACAAACAAACCTACCTTGTTTAATTCACTAGTTATTTCATCACCCATAATTTTGTATATATTTATTTATTTAAATATTGAAGCCCTTCAACCATCTGTTACATAATAGTCATGTACTGGTATTTAAATATAGTTTTTGTTTCCGAGTGTAATAAAATATTCATTAAAATTATTCAAAAATTCATTAAATAGAAGCGTTTTCACGCTTACAATTAAAATACTTAAACTGGTGACTCGAAGTAAAAATAATTAAAATAGTATAAACTTTATTATGCATTATTTCGATTTTAAATAGCGTTCAAAAAGGCTTTTAAATCAAGTTATAGTTAGAGTATTTTCCCAACAGTTGTTTTAATCGTTAAAAAAATTGCAAGCCATATTAGAAGAAATATTTATGGAGCTTAAAAAAGGGTATATTCCAAAACTGTTTGTTTGTCGTTAAGCACAAAGTTAAACAATGGAATATGTGTGTTATGCTTACCACGGGTATCGAAACCCAGTTTCCAGTGTTATAAGTCCGCAGACTTACCTCTGTGCCACTAGGGGTGGAGGAGGTGGGCTTCCACGAAATAGGAGACTGCTATGTAGATTTTAAGAAATGGTTAACAATACTATTGTTTTTTTATGGTTATAGTTGTTGGTTTTTGTGTTGCTAAGCGTAAAGCTACACAATAGGCTATCTGTGCAGTGCCCACCGTGGGTATCGAAACCTGGTTTTTAGCGTTATAAACCTTCAGAATTAGTGGTGAGCCACTAAAGAGGGGAGCTTTGATGCTGTTAGGATGTTTGCAATTTTTCTGAACCAAGGAAACGTTACTATTCATGAATATATGACGAAGTTTGATCAACCTAATCTGTTAATGTCTTCAAAAACATGGCGCACTTAATTTAACTTCAAAACGATATTGACTTAGAAATCTGAATTAGGCCAGAAGTCAATGTAATGAGGAGCGTGAGTAAACTAATAAACAAAGAAAAAATTACTTCACACAATTTTCTTTCGCCTTTCACACATGGTTGAATCATGGCCTACCATTAGCTCTTGGAAACAAATTTATGTTACAGATGTTTACCAAATATAAAAATAACTTACCTCTAATTTTAACAAGCATGAGCAGGATTTGACCTAAGTATTGAAATTCACTCACTGATTCCTCGTTTTTGAAATTTACTCTATCGTACAATACTTTTAAGAAACAACGTTTTATTTATCCTTAACCCTCCCTTCTAATAGTTGATTTCGACCATTCGAACCTTTGTAACTTGAAAACCGTTTATCATTCTGTAAGATTAATTGCATACTAATTAACACTAATTACCTTGCTCCAAATCTTCGACCTTTGTAAATCCCTAGCTATTTGATATCCAACCAGTGAATCGTGCCCAGATCTAGTGAATAGAATCATTACAGGCAGAGTAGAAAATAATGTATACACAGCATACTAAATAACGTTGTTTACTTAGAGTCTATATAAATGGGTGAGATAAAAAAATGTAACTCGCGTTGGTAATTTTCATATATTGTAAAAAGTATGCTTTTAATAACTTCGAGTTACTAATACGTTCTCTTCGTCAAGAAACACTGACATCTTTAAAAGCTGTATAGTTTATGGACTTTTGATTTACTTCTCATGAAAACAACAAATTAATCAGCTTTACAGTCCACAGTACCTAACCTTTACACTAACGAATTCCAATAAAGTTTAAGTAACACAAATTTGAATTATTTATGGATAAAATGAATGAATATGAATATATTAACCAACAGAGAGCAGAATATGTATGGTTGAATTGTTAGACAAACATTTTTATGGATATATTACATATTACTGGTAAAACGGGTGTAGAGTTATATGTACATCATTATTTCTTTATTGTATATGAACTTATGTAAAAAAAAAACAAAGTTTAAAATAAACGACATGGTTTATAACCAAGAGAATTTGGTCTATGCTTATGTTAGACAAACATTTTTTATGGATATATTACATATTACTGGTAAAACGAGGGTAGAGTTATATGTACATCATTATTTCTTTATTGTATATGAATTTATGTAAAAAAAAACAAAGTTTAAAATAAACGACATGGTTTATAACCAAGAGAATTTGGTCTATGCTTATGCGCTATAAAATATAAGGATAAAACCCTTTTCACAAAATCACTTTAATCTGATAGTTGTTTTATAAAATGCTCTTGAAAACGAGGATAATTTATAATTCCTATTGTAATAAGTTGTGTACTTATGTTTCAGTATTTGTTATAAAACTGAAGGCTTAACAATAGATATTAAATTGGCAGTTGCCTGTGCAAGGTGTTCGTTTCTTACAGCATTGAGCCGGTTATTATATAAATGCATTTGTAAATGAGGTCACTCTTATATTCTAACAGCATTAAGAAAACACTTTCGCGTCAGTGTTAAGTAACTACGTGATTTATACCCTAGGATAGTTATCATTCCAACAAACCGTGACTTACAGTAGCACAAATCCTTATTCATATAGAATTTTTGCATCATTACAAACACCATCTATTTTCTAACGGATTCTGTTTTTGCATCCGACCACCAAATAGTATATAAAACTTCCGCGGTCATCAGTTTCTTGGTTTCTGTGTGCGAACAACATATCTTAACACTAACAAACTATTTTACTTTACGTAATTCATCATTTCTTTTTGGAAGCCAGGATTCAAGTGAGTAATCACAAACATTTATTAAAAAATCAGCTACTTCATGCATGTCAAAAGCTAGTTAGTTATTGTATCATGGATTTTTAGTGTATCGACGAAATTTTAGGGTTAACAAGGATTAGTAAGCAGGTGTCTTCTATTTTCTACACTCATCAATCGTTGGAGTTTCCGTTCAATGTTTACATTACAGAAAACGGAACATCCACGTGTTCTTATTTTACTACGAACATTAAGCAAGCTCTAGGTAAGACAAATTGCGCATGCTCAGGATATAGTAATCCCTCCTCCAACCCATCTCACTGACCCAACCAGGATCTCAGAAAGAAACTAGGTCACTCTAGCTTTTGTGAATATTTATAAAAGCCAAGAGCAGACAGGTAAAAATATTACCTTGATCTTCGTGGTTGGTGTCTTTAAACACAGTTTAGTAGTGGTGAAAAACCAGTACAATCCAGAAGAACAGGATTATTCTAAGTGTTACCACTACCACTGTTGGTAACACAGCGTCTAATGTGAGTGAGGTCTTTAGTTAATACTTTTAAATCAGCTGTGGACTTACATTTCTTCTTTTTAATTCGAAATTATTATTTCACTTTATACTTAATATTACGTTATCAAATATTCATTTAACGACTTCCAATCTATTCATTCTGATATTGCTTTAATACCAAATTTTATAACTTTGACGTTAATATATTAGAATTTTCTTATGAAGTTTATGATATTCTCCAGTAATTTAATTTGAGAATTTAATAAGTTCACCGTGTAATATTGGGAATGTAAAATAGTACAGAAGAATCAGCAATGTAATTTTATTGAACCCATTGTTAGACCTTAAGGCGACAAGTTAAGAAACCACGTAAACTGGAACTTTATGACTGCTAGAGCAAGAAATAGAAACGAGCCTGGCAGTAAACAGTTTATACAGCTGTTAAAGTTCATTCTAAAACCTGTGAATGCAGTAGTTAATGTGCGATTTATTGTTATTATTATCAATTTTACTTTATCACCGTATACTTTATTTTTTATTGTATATAAAAAGAAACGTATTTTCTAAATTAACAGACGCTGTAGGCTTACTTTAAGGGTTCCTTGGATTGGTTGAAAATGTACATTTCTGTATCGATTTTATATCATTTAAGATATGAAATTCAAGAAAGTTCTCATTTTACTCACCACTCCAACTAGTAAAATATCGGACATTATTGATCTACCTGGGATGGGGGGGGGGGGTCTTTTTCCAAAAACTTGTGGATCTTTTTTCTTTACAAATAATTTAAGTGACTTACGTGTAAGTCAAGAGTTTGGTTTTCAAAATCGGAAGAAAGTGGCTCTTTTAGACTTATTTGAATAATTCAGCGGTATTTTGTCTCTCTTCCCCCTCCTAGGGTACGCTCCTGACTTGGTCTTAGTGGTCAAGCTCTTTACTATGTTACATTAGAAAAAACTCGTTGGTTTGTAATTATTCTCATGATTTTGGTTTGGTTGCAGGAAAGACGTTCGTCGACAACTTATCATATACACAAACAAAACAACCAGTTTTTATAATAGCTACTATATTCTGTAATTGGTCCATAACATACTTCCGGGCCTAGTTCTGTATTATATGTGTGTATTAATATTTAATAGTTCAAGTGGACCTGTACATACTCTTGTGAGCCTCGTTGCTCTCGTACATTCCGAAAGTTACGTTAGTGTTAACATTTACCACAAAAGTTAAACGTTCTTTTACAGAACTACATAACTCGCTGTCTGGTTTATATTTTTAAGCCACCCAGTAAGGTAAGACATGAAGAGTAATGGAGTGAACATGTGATACTAAGTTATTTAAACCTTTCTGCCCTATCATTGCTGCCTTCTCATCTTTAATTCGTGAATTACCGACTTTGCCATCTTGTGTCGTAATTGCTAACGTCGGTTCAGCGTACTGTTGTAAAGCCATCTGCTGGAAGCGTTATTCGTGGTATATATGTGTATAAAACTAAATTGCAGCGTTTAGATATTTCAAAACTGGTGTCGTATTAAAGGCTTTCGTTATATACTTCCAGGAGATAATGTGAAAATAGGAAAAATGAGCAATAGTTTACAGGTTTTTAGTAACGCCAAAAATAACTTTGTTTTTAATTTTTCACCCGCTTTGCGACTTGTATTGCAAGCTAATAGAGGAGTCATTGAGTTCCTTGAATTAGAATGTTAATATCTGACATGATTAGAGTTCTTTATACATAAGGATTGGAAAGTGAATGAAAAGATGTTGCCGTGTTTCTTTAAATGTCGCAACATCTAAACAAAGCCACCCTTATGGTGTTTGTCATCTGTGTTTAACACAGTTTAGTTAAAATGTTGAATTATAATTTCTTCAAACTTAGCTCACTCCTATGTCATTCTGAGTTAGTTTGTATGCTGCTACATGTACATGTTGATATGCAAGTCTCTGAGGTTATGGCCTGCTGCTTTTTTCTTAAGTCGTTGAGCCCTGTTGATCACACGAAGGAATTTTGTGCGAATATTTTTGTCTGTACATTCCAAATGAGTCAAAGTATTTTTTTTGTGCGTGCTTGCAACCAGAAATATGGTGATGTGTGTGCTTTATTTTGTGAGAAGCTATAACTTATATTATAAAATAAAGAAAAACTTTTTTACTACAGGTAACTGTTCTATTATTTTTCTCTTTTGGGGCGATATACTTGACTTGCAAGCAGTCGCAAACTTGATTTTTACTAGAGTAAAAAAATGGTAGAAAGGTTTGTTCATTTGTTTGAAGTTAAGCACAAAGCTACACAATGGGCTATCTGAGCTCTGCCCACCACGGGTATCGAAACCCAATTTCT